CCCGCGACATGGTACTCCGCAACCTCAAGGCGCTTCAAGGCCATCCTCAAGAAATCATCTTCGACGCGTGAGTTCGAATCTGGGCCCGCAGCAACATCATGGAACTCCACCGCCTCCTCCACAGAATGGGTTCGCATATATTCCCAATCCCTCGATGTATCATCCCAATGCCAACCCCAACATGGCCCAACAACCGCGGCCACCCCAATTCGCACACTATGGACCGCAACAGCCACTACCGCCGCACGCTATGCCTCCACATACCATGCCTCAACCAGTCCCGCCGCACCATCAAGCCCCGCAGCATCTCCCCCAACATCCACATCCGCTTGCTCAGCAGACACCCGCGATGGGACTCTCGCAACCGCCTCATGCGTCAATGCCACAGGTCGCGCAACCTTTCTTGCCCGAACAAGGGAGAAACTCGATGCCCCCTGCATTTCCGACAGAGCAGTCGCAACCACCTCGACCGGTGTCCCTACCCGATGCTTCCTCGGCAGATCAGATGGTTGGTCCTTTAAAGGTGGAAACAAGTCCCTCTCCCCCGCACCAGCGATCGTTGTCCTCCAAATCGCGCAGTATCTTCACGCCGATCGATGACCGCGGCTCCGTTCTCGCCCGTCACTTCGGACTCGGCCCGCCTACGTGCGAGTCTCCACGCACTGAGAGTACAGACGTCAAGGCAGAATCAAAACAGAATGACTCGAAAGAAATCAAGCCACCCGCTCAATCTGTTGCGCCCCCACCCCGGCCTAGGACCACAACCGACGCGGCGCGGTCTCAGTCAGCTCCTGATATTAAGCCACCGCCACGGACGAATAGTGGCCAACTGCCCTCGAAGCGGCCACAGCTCAAGGTGCAAATACCAAGCGAAAATTCTGACCGGGGAAGTGCTACAGCAGATTCTTCGTCGTCCACCGGCAACAAGACCGTGACTCCTGCCAAGGCTAATCCCGACACCAATCACTCCGGCGTGGTTCTCCCTCCACCGTCGCCATCTGCTGGAGCAATTCTGAGTGCAGGCGCCACAGGGCCCCCAAATCCCTTCGCTCGGCCACCGCCGCCGGGAACTGCAAGCCAGAACAGCAATGCGTACAACAGCAATAACAACATAGAGACGCCGATCTCTGCTCTACCCAGTCGATTTGTGTCTGATGCTCTTCTTCCGTCACCGTCAAGTTTCTTCCCGGAATGGGGGTTCGGCAGGTCCGGTCCCGACACGAACATGTTGCCTAGTCCTTTGACCTTCCCCACTCCAGCGGTTCAGACCGGTCCAGGGTTCACGCGCGAAGATGAACAGGAGAAGAAGCGCAAAAGTCCCGACAGCGGTCCTAGCATCGAGGGAACGGCGAAAAAATCCAAGACGTGATCGCTCATTGGACTGTGCTTGCAATCTGATTTGTCTAAAAATCTTGTTTCACCTAAGGCATTTTAGGGCGTTGGGGCTTCTTTTCTTTGCTTTTTTTGAATATTGCAATGGCTTCATGGGCTCATCTTTCTTTTTTTTTGCTGTCACCTCTCATTTGTCACAGTTTGGATTTGTTGGTAGCTTATACCCCTTTCCTTTTTTTCTGGTCCTCTTGCTGTTGATACGGCTGCAGTGCGTTTTCTGGAAGAACTTGGGAATGTGATTCGTATTTGCTTGTACTAATTATGTAAAAGAATTGTTTGAGCTGCGAGGCTCCTTTGTGAATTTCTTGAGTACGTAGCATTCGCCTCCGACTTTTACAGCTAATAACCACAGCCGTCCTACTGAAAGCAGAGCAGAGATTGGTTATGTATAAAGGTACGCTTTATTAGGTGCCTGACTTTTGTGGGGAGTAATGCAAAAGCAGTATGTACGCACCGCGCATGGAACGCGAACCACAGTATGCCATGCACAATCCTAATTACCGACTATGTATATTAAATCCAAGTATAGACATTCGAGAAAAAACAATGAAGAAAGCTAGGGAAGCGGGTTATACCTCCGCCTTTGGCGACGGATCCGTCCGCTTGGCCGCGGCCGCAGCGGCAGCCTCAGCCTTCTGCTCCGCGAGGATCTCCTTCCGGGCGCGCTCCTGCTCCGCCAAGCCGGTCTTCGTAAAGGTGTGCGCCTTGCTCAGCTCGACGGGCCGGATGAAGAGACTGATGAGGAAGCCGAAGCCGCCGACAGCCGTGTAGAAGATCCACAGCCTGCTCAGGCTGTGCGTGAAGGACTCGAGGACGACGATGCGGGCAGACTCGGGTAGAGACTTGACAAGCGAGCCGGTGGAGCCTGCAAAGGAGCCGGCGATTGTGGCTGCGGTTTCGGGGCCTGTGGCGGCCTCGATGCGGGGCTGTTGGCGCGCGAGAACGTTCTGGTAGACGACCGTGCCCAGGACAACGGCGATGGCGGAGGAGGCCTGGCGGAGGAAGGCGAAGGTTGCGGTGGCGGTTGCCATGTCGGAGCGGTGGATGTTGGCTTGGAAGGCGACGAGGGGGGCCTGGAAGAGCGGGCCGACGCCTATGCCGGCGATGATCTGGTAGATGATGATGCGGGGCCAGGAGGCGTAGTATTTCAGGTCGATGAGAAGGCCGAAGCCAAGGGTCATGAGGCCCAGGCCGCCGACGATCAGCTCGCGGTAGCGGCCTGTCTTTTTGATAATGATGCCTGTGCCTGCGGAGACGACGGAGAGGCTAAGAACCAGGGGGAGGACGTAGACGCCGCTGAGGATCGGGGAGGCCTGCAGCACGGTCTGGAAGTAGAGCGGGAGGTAGTAGGAGCCGGCGATGAAGACGAAGGCATGGCAGAAGCAGACGATAAGGACGAGACGGTTGTGCCAGTTTTTGAAAAGCCGCACAGGGATCAGAGGATACTTGGCGAGTTTCCACTCGTTCAGCATCGCTAGGACCCAGACCAATACGCCGAAGATGATCAGGCAGATGACTGTGGCCGAGGCCCAGGGGTAGTTGACGCCGCCGAACTCCAGCCCGAAGAGGAACATGAGCGTGCCTCCGATGACGAGGACAGTGCCGGACCAATCGATAGCCCGGAGGCCTTCGAACAGCGGCGTGCCACCGGATTCGAGCTTGAGGAAGAAGACGAGGATTGCCAACGAGACGCCACCGACGGGTACTGAGCAAATCAGCTTAATTCCACCACAGGCCAACGAGATTATACGTACAGTTCAGGTAGAAACACCACCGCCAGGTCACAGCAGTCGTAAAGGCGCCTCCGATAATGGGGCCTAGAGCACCCGCAATGGCCCACGTCATACCGAAAAGACCATAGTACATCGGCCGTTCCCTTGAAGAGGTCAGCACTGAGTAGTCGAAAGCAAAGAAAGAGGTCTAGCTTACCGGACGCTGAACAAATCAGTAACACAGATATTGACCAAGACAGTGATACCACCACCCCCTACACCCTGGATCGATCGTCCAACCAGCATCATGGTCATGTTGACCGCAAGAGCGCAAATCAGACTGCCGACAAGGAACACAACGTTGGCCATAAGCAGTATCGGCTTACGGCCCCAGATGTCACTAATCTTGCCCCAGAGGGTGATGCAGGCCGCATTGGCGAGCAGATATGAGGAAGCCATCCATGAATAACCACTTTCCGAGGCGTGAAACTGGGCAGCCATGGTTGGAAGGGCCGTTGAGACGATCGTCTAGACAAGTCAGTCTCGTCTGTGAATAGTCAATTAGAGTTAAAGGCACGTACCATATCCAAAGCGGCCAGAAACAACACCAACTAGAAATCGTCAGTACAGTTCTTATGTCAATATCTATGGAGGAAGCATACACAAAGCGCAGGCATGATAATCAGAATCTTCTTCTTCCCCAACTTCTGCGCCTGAGAGTGCGTCCGGTCCAACGGCGCGCCATCTTTCTCAACATCTTTCCCGTCAGATTTCTCATGGGATGGATGATCTGGGTTGTTGACGGGCAGTTGATCATCCCCAATTGACGGCGGCGTCATATTGGCGGACTTTTCCGAGCTGTCCTCCCCAGAGCGGGAGATTTTGTCCGACATGGTTAAACTGCTGTTGGTATCGTTCTCGTAGTCATAATCTTTCTCCCTGTCTACTGTCATGCTCTGAGCAGAATAGAACGAGTGGAGAAAAAGAAATCTGATGATTATCTACTCCAGTCGCCTCGACTTGGCAGCGGGGAAAGTAGCATGAGAATACGAGTCAGTTGGGAAAGTTTCGGGTAAAGCCGAGCTTAAAAAAAAGCAAAGAAAAATACAGAATTAAGATTTAGTTGATGGTCGATCGGCACAATGACGGACTGCCAATGGGGGTAGCTTCACTCGAAGACAAGTTCAGTGATTTGGATCAAAGTGAAGAAAGAAGAAACCAGCGTCACTTGCAGTCGTAAGTACTGAAGCCTCGGGTCTTGAAGCCTTAAAAGAAGCCAACCGCTAGTGTGGAGAGGTAGACTGTCGGCGTTAACAAACTTAAGCGACTCCGACGCCGACGCGAAGGCCGATAACGTGTCTCATCTCCAACAACGAGGACATTTTCTCCTTCATCATGGTCATTGAGTCATACTCGGATGTCGAAAAGACGCGATCTGTTTGAGAATACGAACAGTGGGAGAATAATTGTTGTGGGAAAGAATGTGGATATCTATACTCTGTACTACGTGGAGTTTACGACATCATTCACGTCTGTTAACAATTGACGTGCGATGCTTTTCGCATTGGAACTAGGCAGAAGCCTTTAAAGTAGATGAAGATCTGAAGATTTGAGAGAACAATTAGAATAAATTTATCCTCCAAGCTCTTTTCTTTTTCTTTTTTTCCCCCTCAAGCGTCATATGCAATGTCTAATATCAAGCATTTCTTGGTACGGGAGTACAGTATCAGTGAGACAACCATTGAGATCGTGATGAGCTGTGTTATAGCTTTCAATGATTTATTCAGGGGTATAATGTATGTAGGGGAAGAAAAGAAACATTAAAAGTACAAGAAGTCAAAAGCACTTTCAAACACAGAATCATGCATACACAATGCACAATCCATCCGTCCCTCTCTAGTCCTGCAACTGTAAGATCTCTACACGACCGCGTCATCAGTCAGTCAATCAATCAGACCAGACTGCCTCGAAGAGCCACTTACCAGTCAAAAACTCCTCAAAGCTCAGTGTGATATACCCGTCCCGATCCTCGTCATACCGCTTGAACACGTCCGTCATTCGTCTGAGACTGATACACGCCTGCACAAAGAGATCGAAGCTCATCCCATCCTTGGCCGGTCCATGCCCCCCGTTTATTTGTTGTTTTTTGCTCTCAAACGTGGTAAAGAGCACCGTGACAAATGGCTGGCTGAGCCTATACCCGAACGCAACCAGCGCTTTCTCAAACTCCTGCAGACTGATGCGCCCACTGCGATCTTCGTCAAACCGGTCAAAGAGCTCCCGCCACGCAGCGAGGAACCGCCACAGCGCCACGAACTCGTCGAACGAGATGGTCCCGCTGCTGTTCCGGTCGAACATGCGGATCATCATCTTGACGGTCTTGGGATGGAAAGAGGTATAGTCGCCGTTCACGAGGGCGGATCCGAGCTCCATCTCGGTCAGAGCGCCCGAGTGTGAGGCATTGGCAGCGCGGAAGAGTGGGAAGAGCTGCTGGGGATCATCGTGCGGGGCGGACAGAGGAGGCGGATGGGGGGATTGAGGTGGACGCGAGACTGGGGAAGGGCGATTGCGTACGGGCTGCGAGGGAGGGGGCCCGAAGCCGTAGTTTTGGGGCGGAGGCGAGGGGTGGAGCGGATGCGGACGCGCATGGCTTGCGGGAGGCGGTCCGGTCGCAGGGAGGGGTTTGTTGATCTGAGCATTCGTGACGGGGACTCTCTGGGGGTGCCCGCCGGGCGGAGCATGAGACGATGTTCGAGGAGGTCGCTGGGCCTGTGGTTGTGAGGATACTTGCATGGAGCCGATCAACTGGGCGACCTGCTGGAAGTCAGTCGCGGGGATGGGCAATCTGTCTGACGGCAGTTTGTTCGTACTTGTTCCGGTTCGGCATGCCTGCCCTCCTCGGTCAGTCAGACACAGAGTCACCTCATCATTCACAAACACTTACGCTGGCAGCGCATCGGGGTTGTAGGACTTGTTGTAAGCCATGGTAGCCTGGCGTAACAGAGGGCAGTCACAGTGAGGGTCACCACGGAGAGCGCTCCTATCTAAAAAGACGAAGGAGAATTTTCAAGACATCCACGTGTTCATAAAGAGGATAAATGATGAAGATGAAGTAGATAGATGGAAGGTGATTCAGGAGTTCGGAGTAAGTTCTGGTGCGACTTGGCTATCTTTTAGCTCTTTCGTCGTACTCGTACAGCAGAAGTGAAAGCGGAGCCGTGGGGCAATCTTTGAATCGTTAATATGCTAAGATATAAGCAAAACGACAGATTTACGGGATGATTTTATCATTGGGATCAGAAGACGACCTCTGAGAGTATGTTATCTATGTTCTTCCTGAGCTTCCAATGTGATTCCTATAGCAAATAACAAGCCACCGTGGGTTGTTTTTCCTCCTTGGACGGTAAGGTGATGCTCAGCCCTACCAGTCCCAGTGAGGGTAACGGCCCACTAGATATGCCTATGTAACTTTTGCTGGCTGATATTAGGGTGGATCGTCATTTTGCAGGCAGATAGCCATATATCCTTCAACACTACTTCTTGATTAATTCTTCGACCTCTGGAGCCGAATGCCTAAGAACTTGAAAGATTTCCTCAAACGCTTTAGTTTGAAGTTGTTTGCCCTCTTCCCCCGTGGTCAAAGCAGCAGATTCACTGTTATCTATTAGCATAGTCCAAATGGACAAAGATTGACCCGATGCTTACTCCACGTAACCATCATTTCTCCAGCACTTCCCATGTGACTCGACTCCTTGATACATTGCACTGATCAGGGACCGACTCCCCTGTTCCGCCGTGCGAGCAAATAGCTTATATACTAACCACATCATCCATCGCTCGTAGAATCGGTCGTACTGCCGTCCCAGAGAGGACGCACAGAACCCAGGACTGACAGTGTTGATGATTACTGGGACTGACCCATTCTCCTCACGCGCGTGTAGCGCCACCGTCTTGAGGACATATTCCATCAGGAGCTTCGAGATCCGGTATTGCTGGGGTCCATTAAAACGCTTGGGTTCGTTGAGATGATCCAGCAGTGAGCCGTCAGTCCGCAGACTGTCCGCTTTCACTCTGATAAACAATCTGCTTGATACCACACTCAAGTGACTGGGGCTTTCGGCCGACGAGCTACTCCGGAGTTTAGGAAGAAGCAGGATTGCCAGCAACGAAGTGGACAGTGTATTGACCTGCAACGTCTCCTCCCATCCATCAGGAGACGCTGTGTAACTTCGATTCCACAATCCCGCATTGAGCAATACAACGTCCAGCCGTTCGATCTCTGTGTTGACGCGAGCTGCGAAATCCTTGACGCTTTGGAAACTGCTCATGTCCAATTCCCAGACATGGATTATCCCCGGTCTGTTGGTGCGCAGCTCCAGCTCAGCTTTTGTCGCTTGTCCTCGCTCCAAGTTGCGACTGCCGATAACAAGAGAGTCCACACCGAGATTGAGCAGTTTGATAGCAGCCTCGAACCCGAGCCCAGATGTTGCACCAGTCAGGACCACCGTTTTGCCTGCAAAGGAAATTCCGGTCAGGCTTTCTGGGGACGACATTTGCAGAAGGCGACAAGGCCAGCCTTAGTTATGATAGCAACTTGAAGAAAAAAGGCTATGTCGCTGATGTCGGCGTATGGAAACGAAAAATTGGTCTTGGATAAAAACGCAACTTTGAGCTACATGACCTTAGACAGCAGATAAATTTGGCAAACTGCTGATAACAAAGTGCTTTCAGCGAGCAGATTCTCGGAGAGATAGACCTGTATGATCAGTTCAACACTCAAACTTGTTATGCTAAGCAGGAAAGTAGAATATCAACCAAGATTTGACAAGAAAGGGCCACTTGATTTTGACATTTTGGACTTACCTGGTCTAAGAAGTAGAGCAGTCTGTAACTCTCATAAGTCTGTGTACAAGACAGGCGAAGCCAATAATTAGTCCATTGATTAGGCTTGCCGCAGCGTCTGGGCAGCCCACTTAGATAGTTACGAGATAGACTGCGTTTCCGTCACACCTTTCCAAGTACCTTAAGGTAATATGGCTAGCAGGAGAAACTGCTCCGGATTGAGGGATGTCGGCGACTTGAGGAATGATGAAGAATCAATGGACGATGGCGAGAAGCGGCTGGATCCGTTTCTGCCACGAATGTGATTTCCATTCAATTCGGGGCTGGCATACCACTAGCCATTTACACAAAAAAGGGCCTCGGGGATGCAGAAGCGCTCCTTGGATAGACCGGCGACGCTCGGGGCAGTCCATCTGAAAGATTTCCTGGTTGATTATTATGCATGACTGGATATAGAGAGGAGACAAACACTGCAAACACTGAGCACGTCTTGTATAATCTGGCATTAAGTTGTCGCCATTCTATCAACATATTAGTTCAACATACCCTCTTTTTTTGGTATACTTGATACCTTACTGAAAATATTAGAATAAATTGCTCTAAATACGGTTTGATTGCTCGCCAGGACTTCTGTGCCGTGTGTGATCAGGCGCAGGGATCATCGGCTGAGAAACCATCCTTTTTTACCGAACTTCATCTATAAATGTGTGTTGAAAATCGTTCGAGCTGCTCTGGGGGCTCAGCAGATATGACAACTCCAGAAACGACTCAAAGTCCGCCAGCTGGCCGAACATGGCGCAACTACTTTCCCGACGGTGACCTTTGGGTATTTGGTTATGGGTAAGTCATGCTCCTGCGGGTTCAATCCAATTGCATTTAAGGCTGACTCGTCGTAAAGGAGTCTCATTTGGAAGCCACCACCACACTATGGTGTGTATCATCTGCCGAGCCATACATTGGCCTCTGCATCTAACTCTGGTACAGACCAACGAGTCCCAGGCTATATCGATGGCTATGTTCGACGCTTCTGGCAGGTTTGTACTTCCGCAGATACACCCGTTCTAGTCGTCTCTGACATTCACTAGGCCAGGTACACACTCCCAGAATTCAGATATTGCCAAGCTATCACTGATCAACCTTAGTACCGACCATCGCGGCACCCCAGAAGCCCCAGGTCGTGTGGTAACAGTCATCGAACGGGGTTTCTGGGAAAGCCTAGACGACCCGGTAAGTCTCTTTCTCAAACCTCACCTCAGCTCAGCGTCTGACCGACCAGCACGCACATCTTGAATCCTCAACAGCCCGCGTCTGGGGCGCAGCATACCACATCCCCGCCTCCCATGCCGAGGAAGTCCACGACTACCTCGACGAGCGGGAAATAGATGGCTACACCGTCCACTACACCCCCTTTCATCCCATATCTGCCGTCTCCGCATCCACCGTCTCCAGGGCCCCAGAGACACAGTCGCCATCGCAGGCGCATGCCGCACCAATCACTTGCATGGTGTATATCGGGCAGCCTAGCAATCCGCAATTCCTGCGCGACCCGGCTCGCCGCGAACCGCAGGATGTCGCGGAGGTGATTAGCCGCGGGCGGGGCCAGAGCGGGAAGAACACCGAGTATCTGTACCTGCTCGAGAAAGCGTTAGAGGGGCTAGGGCTCGGGAGTGCTGATATGCATGTCACTGACCTGGTGCGACGGGTCAAGGCGATTGAGAGCACGGAGGAAGCGACAGCCGAGCAGGCGGCTGCGGAGAGAGACGTGAAGGAATCCCTCGAAGCGTCGTGGGCCGAGGCGCATAGGGATCCCTCGCAGATCGAATAGTGTGCAGGCTTATGTACAGATGACGGCTATACATGATGATTAGATAGAATAGACGGTATACACTGGGTATATACATGCACCCATACCCTACTGAAGGTCTGTTGGGCCCTACACTCGATCACCTTCGGTAAAGATTTGGGCCTTCTCCTGAATGAAAGATCCCCGTCACTGAGAAGTAGAATTGCAAGTAAGGAAAGAAGAAGAAAGAGAAGGAACAAGATACGGATGCATAAAGATTCAGATGCTATCATAGCGCTCAGTATTACATATATATACCAAATCAGTGGTTACCAATCGGTACCAATGATTATTTCTCCCAAGCAAGCTGATGCGAACCGGTACCAAGTCACAATCAATATAACCTGTTCTGCCGCCAAAATTCCCTGGGAATATCAATCAACCCTTGTTCCATTGCATGTGAGGATAGAACGCCATGCGACGGATATGGTACAGCCTCCCATGGACAATGTAGCGATGCTTTACCCACCAGGACACGATTTTGAAGGACGTCTTGAAAGGCTGGGTTGTTCTCGAAACTGTCAGCACTCAGAGGATTCCGCAATGCATAGTCCCACACACATTCCAAAGTATCTTCTTCTAGATGCATGATCGCGTCATGTGCTGCCGCATCGAGCGCCTGTGTGGCAAAGCAATCATAAATATCATCCTGAAGTTGAGCTTCCTCAGCAGAGAACATGACCATGTCGTCATCGACTTTGTCCCTTCCTGCTCTTGAAGCGAGCTGGGGGTCGGCCTCTTGTTCAAACGATCCGGCTTGAAATACCGAGGAGGAGAAGGGCTTATCTTGGGCTTTGGTAGGATGCTCGGGGCATTTCAATGTATCGGAGCCCGAGTCAAAGTCTTCCTTCGGGCCAGCATTGCTCCTATTAGCCAGTGTCGTCTTCCTGGGTCTCGCTAGAGGTGTATTAGATGTGTGCTGAAAATCCGGCTCGTCGTTGAGACCCTTATCAAGAGGGGCTGGAAAAATAAATTTCGTATCTAGGCTTGCGTTGTCCTCAACGAAACTATTCCCCATCTCTTCCAATAACACCGTTTGTTTCAGTTGCTTTAAATGATCTTCATCAGCGTCCTCCACTTTATAGACAGAGCTCGCTTTGCAACTGTTGCATCTGCTGCCTGAGAATGAGCTCTCTGAGACGACTTGGGGCGCTGTCGCTTGTTGCCGAAACTTATCCCGCTCCTGTAGCAGAAGCTTCAGGTCCTCCAAGCTCCAGTACCTTCTAACTGGATGGGTAGACTCATCTTTGTCCTTCTCTTGTGAGCTCAAATCAAAATGCAGAAGCTGTCTCATGTGAAACTCTGACCAGCGTTCAGACAAGAATGCGGCGTGTTCATTGTATGAAATACTGGTAGGTGTTGATGACAGAGAGAGTTCGCAACGTTGAACATCAGGATTGTATGTCCCGGAGTGCTTAGGCTGATCAGCTGGAGATTGAACAACAACAGCGGCATGCCTCTTCGCTGCAATGTTGCGCACCCTGCAGTCTGGCGGGGATTGTTGTTGTAAGTTCGGAGATGAATGCAACAAGGTACCGCTTGCCTCCATCTCGAAACCGTGCATACGAGCCTCATCTTCGAGTGAGCCAAGTGGGAAGTAGCTCGAAATGAGTAGTTGAGAATCCTCGGGATTTGCTCGAGCCTTCCTCTTGTTGTTCGGACTCTGCTGGCTTGCGTATCTTTCGCTATCGCTCCGTAATTTCTTGCTCAAGAATCTTGTCTCTGAAAACCCCTTCTCAGGCACTCGACCTCGGTTTACCAGCTTGCGAATCCCCGAGAAATGGGGAAAATGTCGAAGCTCGCCGGCTTTCACTGGCGATGAAGTTTTCCCTCTTCTGAAAATACCCAGATCTAGGTGCGAATGTAACTGTTCAAACAGTCAGCAATGGGTCCCTTGACTACTGAAGTACAATGCCCACTGTTAATCGATCTCGTGGGACATTGGAAGCATGGAAGCTGTCATTGATTGTATGTCTCCTAACCTGCTTTGATGACTTTTTCGCTTTTGTCGGCGATTGCTTTCGTTGTATTCGAGATGTTGAGCCCTTGTACTCGTAATGGTCTTCTCTGGTCTTATTTCGTGGTTTGCGTTCGTATCCACCTTTGCTTCCCTTTTCAGTAATTGTCCGTTTTTCAACAGGATGCCTTCCAGGATAGGGTGACCATCCGATACGGTTTAGAGGGGAACGTTGAGCAAAAAAGCTTCCTTCGCGCAGGGCCCTTCTCGGAGGAGTTGATGCAGACTGCGTGATAGGAAGCCCACTGCTGCGGCACTGCTGGCTCTTCGTTCGAGTCGCTTGGTCAATGATAACAGGAATCCGTCAGCGAAAAATGGCCCCTAGGGAAATACTTTTGGGCGAGATGGATAAAGAATCACCTTCTGGAGAATCCGAGGCATGATGGGTTGTATAACTCGTCGGCGAGTTCTCACGTTCAAGAAGCCATTTGAGAATCAATTCCTGGGCATCTGGTGCCAGGTGACGATGTCTTCGCGAGGATTGATGCATGTATATAGCTGTGCTCAGGTTGAGGCTGCTCGTTGCGCTGAGCTTGTTGCCAGTAGGATCATGTCGGCTCGCACGCCTTTCTTTCTGGAGTTGACAACATCGATGATGGATGATTGTCTATGCATCTGTTCCATAACAGGAAATCATGACTCAGGAAGCAGCTTCCTCGCCAGCTGTCTTGGGTCATCCAGGTATCTGAGAAGCATCCGTCAGTTTCAGTCATGGCAAAGAATATCAACGTATTCAACTCATCACACTGAGATTCGGACAAGACATAATACTCTTCTTATGCACCTAGAGAGGTACATAGTTCGATAAAGCTCGTCTATCTACAGAGTACTAAGCCAAGGTGGGTTCCAAGCGTCTCGCTTATATTTCCTATCAAGGCATGAGCCTAGATAAGTTGATAACCAGGCACATGTGGATCAATTCTCCACCATTATCAATTCTGCCCCTCCTCTCCAAACTTTCGTTGTTTGGCCACTTCCTATCAAAGTGATATAAAGTGGTCGGATCGGAGATCAGTTTTAATACTGGTGTGAGGAAGGGGCAAAAGGGAGCAGTAATTTCTCAAATCACTTGCCTTAATAGGAATATCTGGCTTTTCTTGGCACCCGTGTCAACTGCAAGCTGACCGACCAAAACGACAATCTACCAGCTCACAGTGATTGCGAGATGTGACTGACAATCTTGCGTAGTCATTATTGTTATTGCTAACTACACTTAGACTATCTAGGCCGTAGCTTTTCAGTAAAACAATCAAGCAATGGAGATCTTGTCCAAATTTCTGAAAAAGGGCCAAAAAGAAAAATTCTTCCCGTCCACCACCCCTCTTCTCTCTCTTTTTTTTTTTTTTTTTGTCAACTTTTTGAATTTTTGTTTTACTCTTTCCCAACGGGGAGGCAAAGCTTCACCAAACTCATCAAAGACCTCCACAATTCAACAAAAAATCAACTGGGCCTTAGAAGATACGGGACGGACTACACCATACTGTACTATACTGCATCACGCTCTGAGATGAGAAAGAGCAAAATCCTAGGAGATGCTACCTTCTGCAGAAAAGTGTACACAGACAAGGATGGACAAACTCCGGCTAATGTAGGATCATATGCGAGGTACAGGGTGAGATACCACCCATGGTACGACAAATGAGGGACTAAAAAGTATCTTTTCAAAATGGGAACTCTGCTATCCCCAGACCCCCGTTCGAGCCACCGACTCTTTCAAGCACGGATTTCTTGACTCTCTAGAGTAAGATTCAGGCTTCTGCTTGATCTGGCCTTTCCAGTTCCCACCTGCTACTGCGCAAAGGCTGCAGATGGGCTGCTGACTTCCCAATGAGGGGGACGGAGGTGCGCATCAGCTCTCAGGTCAGTGGTGACCATACTCTAGCGTCCTTAGACTGCTCCCTTTGTGCGCTTGTCATGCATTAATAGTGGCTCCCGCTTATCAATTTATGAGTGCTATGAAGGAAAAATAATAATACTATTGCCGAGTACCATAGTAGCGTGTAGGAGTAGTAATCAGTAACCCCCGCTTTGCATCGTTGCTACACCTCCTCCAGTCCTCCCTTTCATTCTCCCACTTCGCAGGTTCTGCACGTCTAATCCACTGCTCTTCTTGTCTTATCAAACCGTGAGAATACCTTCCTCCTCATCTAAATCACCTGTGATATTAACACTCGTTGTCTTTCAGCAACAAAAGTTTCTACTGTGAGTGTCCCTTGTCTTGCTGTATGCTCTGTTTGTTTCACGGACCAGCGACATCCTCAGGCACAGCCGCAGTGAGATTGCCTGTGAAAAAATTTCTTTCAGAAAAGGGAGAAATTTTCTACTCCTGACTTCTTCCCCTCCTTTTTTTCCTTTCATCCACCTATTTCGATCACCTTGATCTTCGGGAAACTGTCACTGTATCTCAATACTAATTCAACTAAACAGTTTCATTCAACCTTCGACATGTCTAAGCTTTTCATCGGGTGTGTTTTCATTTTACGTCAAAAATCCAACGCATTTTCTCAAGTAACGGTTCAATAGCGGCCTCGCATGGCACACCACTGATGACGCCCTTCGTCAGGGTTTCGAGCCGTACGGCGTGGTTGAAGAAGCTGTTAGTAGTACCCTTTCCCTCTCATTGTTCATTATCACACCATCTTTTTTTCTGTTACTACCTTACCATACCATACTAATGACTCTTTCACGACACGCAGATCGTTGTCAAGGATCGTGACACCAACCGCAGCCGTGGTTTCGGTTTCGTCCGTTTCAGCAGCGACACCGAGGCTGATGCTGCCATGGACGCTATGAACAACCAGGAGTAAGCTTTCCCAAATCTCTTCAGACCCTAGATTGTACCTGAGTGCCCAAACTGTACTCTTTTGAACCGTATCTCTCATCGCAGAAGCACTAACAATTGACGCATATAGGTTCGATGGGCGCACCATCCGTGTTGACAAGGCCTCCGAGCGCCCTGCCCGTAACAACGGTGGCTTCCACGGCCGTGGTGGCTACAACCAGTCCGAGGGTGCTCCCGGAAACGGTATGTGCTCACATCAAATTGTTCAACGAATCTCAGTTCTGACAAGTCTTACAGGTGGCCAACGTTATGGAGGTGGCCGTGGTTACGGCGGTGAGTAGAACTGATTGCTGTCCTTCCGAATAGTCACTAATTTCCCTCCAGAGTGGCGTCCCTCGAATAACGCTGCTTAAATGCCTCAGTCGAAAACACCTAGCTCGTTTCTCTCCGTACCTTTTTCGCCAGATAAGTTATGAGATACGATTATGAAAATGATCATGCCGGGCTCTTTATCGCATTTCTTGAGCGTGAATGACGCACAAGTTCATGATGATGGAATTTATTAGTGCTTTTTGCTTGTCTCTCAGTTTCGTCTTCATCTCGCCTATCGAGATAATTAAGATTGGTTGACGGCCGCTGCATGGCGACATACTTTTCTTTCTAAGTTTCCTTCTAGACTAAACACTCAATACCCAAGCACTCCTCTCAGACTTCATTGATGTATTGGCGGTGTTCTAGTCTTGATCGAAGCAGTCTTATGGATACCATCTGGCTGTTGGTCCGACAGTTCGCAACGCTCATACGACCACGGAGTATAGTCCACTCTCTGAGCCTCGCGAGCTCGTCAATAGGCAAATGGTTCGATTGGGTATAAAATGAAACTTGGTAGTGTGCCTCTGACTATATTTACATAATACTGTACTCTGGATCCAGAAGCAGGTCATCGAACAAGTTCCCTAACTCCTAAGCTGCGACGTAAAGCATTCTCGTTTTGAATGTAACTAGAGAGCCGCCATCGCGGAATGATGCAACGACCTCTAGAGACGGAAGCTGCTGCTGCTCTTCGCAGGGCTCCCCGAGGACTGCGGGTATCACGACAATGCGTCTCGGTCCATGGCACGACCGCAACCGCAGATCGAATTGTTATGATGACTTGAGTTTGTCAAGACGCTCACAGTGGAGATAAAGCCTCAACAACACCGGCTCCCCTGAAGGCTGCCTTGTTGGTCATGACGACTTCAACTGGGTATTTCCATTCCATAAAGCGAGTCCACCCTACATCACTCATGTCAGTCTTGTTTACATGCTGTAGAAGTCAAAGGGCGTACCCCAATAAGCGCATCTCCTTCCCAGATACTTCCCGATAAACGGAACGATGACCATGGTCAATAGTAACTCCAGCTGCTCAATGCTTTCTCTCCATTCCTCCTCGGCATCTGAGTAGTCGTCTGAAAGTGTGTCTAGATCTGAAGCGGTGGTAGACTCTGATGGAAGGGATGCAATCTCATCGTCTGAGCCGGATGTGTACCTGTCTACCGAAGACACCATGTACGCAGATGTAGCGAGGGACGGGTTAGAGGCGGAGGGTGAGGAGTACGACATGGTGAGATTGACTTGGGTCGGGGAGACGGGACGGGTTAATGAGCGAAGTAGAACACCGATAATGAAATCAAGCAGCGGCCTGCCTACTGCCTGAACAAGGATTGCAGCATGAAGTGTTGCCGACCGATAGAGATATCCAAGATCGGAACCCCAATACTTGAGAGGCATCTAAAGACAGGCCCTGATGTAATCCAGGAGAGCCAAGTCACGTGAATACATTACAGTAATACGAGTGCACAGCAATTTGACTCACAGTCACGTGAACCTGTACCGCGATAACAGAATTGCCATCGCGAACCCAAAGATATGGCTCTACCAATATATCAACCTCTCGTCAAGCTACTTATAAGCAAGTCTTTACTGCTAGATAACATTCTTTGACTGTTATCATATTTGGAAGTGCCTACTGCTGCAAGAAAGACATATAAAATATGGCGGATGCTGTACGTCACACCCTGTTTTCCCTTTACCGATTCTGCCCTCCCACATTTTCTTTAATGCGGACATCTTCACATTTCATGCCCCCCATCGGCCTAATCACACTACGTTGCCGCTCACCTTCAGTTGTAACGTTTGGCTGTGTTAGGCAGTGAACAGTCACCAGACCCTTTTTTTTCGGACGGATATCGTCTCTGTTAATTTATTTCCACCTTGCTAACCTGTCGTCGGGCCCATTAGCAGGTCGAGCCCACTCCTCAAAAGCAACGCAAATCCGTTGCCTTCAGTGAAGGTGCAGTCATCATGGACACAAACGGCGAAGTCACAGAGGCTCCCGCTCCTCAAATCACCACAGCTGAGAATGAAGCTGGTATGCTTTCACTTTCCCTGTCACTCAAACCTGCGGCCGCAGCCGAAACTGACTTCAAGCAGGCACAGCAGACACCGCAGTCGACGAAGTAACCGAACTCTTCAAGGGCCTCTCGAAAAAGAAGAAGACCAAGAAGCCCAAGGACGCTGAGGCCGGTGAAGGCGACGACGCCGCTGCCACCGCCGATGGGGAATTCGACCCCACCGCCCTGAAAAAGAAGAAGAAGAAGGTCAAGAAGGTCGATGCGGGTGACTTTGAGGCCAAGCTCGCCGAAGCTGGTATCTCAGAGAAGGCCGCTGCCGAGGAGAAGGAGGGCGAGTTGCCTGAGGGCGATCTCGAAGCCGGCACCGGTATCTGGGCGCACAACGCGACCCAGGCCATCCCGTACTCGCTCCTCGTCTCCCGATTCTTCTCCCTCATCCAGAGCCACCACCCCGACCTGCTGTCCAGCGGCACCAAGTCGTATAAGATTCCTCCTCCTCAGTGTCTGCGTGAAGGTAACCGTCGTACCATCTTCGCGAACATCGCCGATATCTGCAAGCGTATGAAGCGTTCGGACGACCACGTCATGCAGTTCTTGTTCGCCGAATTGGGTACCAGCGGCAGTGTCGACGGTAGCAGGCGTCTGGTCATCAAGGGTCGTTTCCAGCAGAAGCAGATCGAGAACGTCTTGAGAAGATATATCGGTATGTTACTTTTCCTCCCTCTTGAATACTACAGTAGCTGACAGCCTCCAGTTGAATATGTTACCTGCAAAACCTGCCGCAGCCCCGACACCGAACTCAACAAGGGTGAGAACCGTCTGTACTTCGTTACCTGCAACTCCTGCGGTTCTCGTCGGTCGGTCGCCGCCATCAAGACCGGTTTCCGTGGACAGGTCGGCCGCAGAAAGAGACAAGGCTAAACGAGGTTATGGCTGGGTGGGGGGATCTACATGGAGCCAGCTGTGGGAAGATACTTTTCTTTTATTTTTTCCTGTTTATTTCCCCCATTTTCGTATAAACGTTCCTCTGCTATGTGGATGATGATGAAAAAGGATCGAAATGTGATGTCGTGAGTTATGCAGGATTTGGAAAAATAGAGACGACGTGAAGACCAGAAGTAAAGTCCATGTGTCTGGGAACCACTTCATTCTCATTCTGTAAGGGCTATCATAAGGATAATGAGATAAAAATGCCAGCAAAGATGGATCAAGATAAAACAGCATCCGCTCAAGGAATCACAACGCTAAACATGAGAATTTACAGCAAATGAATGTAGAAGCCTTTGCCACTGTCCATCCATCGAGCGCTATACTCTAGTTACTGGCAGTATGTGCTCCAATATGCGCGGCAAAGGCAGTGACGTTCCTCGTCTGCAAGTACACGGTTCCAGGACCGGTGAAACGGCATGCTAGACCCTCGCCAGAACTCATATTGGAAATGATACCTCCTGAAGCGACACGCTCCATCTTGTACTTGCAGTTCCAGGCAACGAGGTGTCCGTTATCAACGTAGTAGGATTCGCCGTCGGCGATCTGGACAGTTCATTGTCAGCAAGTCACAGAGAACCTCCAGAGAGTGGGTGCTAGAAGTCAAGGGAAGAGTAGCTTACATCCTTCTTGATGATAGCGCCGAAGCTCTGGAGCCACACGAGACCGACACCAGACAGCTTGTACACGAACAATCCCTCTCCGGAGAAGACACCCTTCGACAAACCTTGCGCTTGATAGTCCTTTGAGATACCGCTAGTCGAGGCCAGGAAGGCATCTTTTCCGACCTTCCACTGGTCCGAGCCAGACAAGCGCAGCACAATGATATCACCCAGTGCCGCGGGCGCAAGCAGAAGCTCGCCGGGGCCGGTGTATGTGGACAGTGACATCTCGCCGCCGGCAAACATCTTCTTCAGGGAGAATTTGACGCTTCCTTTTAGTGTGATTGTGTGCGACATCGCGATCATTGCTCCTGACCGTATCATGAGCTTCGTGGGCTTTTCAGGTTCTGAAAAAATGGCACTCACCTGGCTTGGACTCAATCGGACACCCTACCGCCAGCTGCAGCGTCAGAAGGGAATTCGAGTCCCGGTGGCTAATCCTATAGCTTCCGCCATTGAATGTCCCAACATCGTCCTGGGTAGTTGAGGTCACGAACTGGCCGAACTGAGACGGCCCCACAGATGTCCGCTGGGCTTGCACAGCCATGTTCGAAGATTGAGATGGCGTTGGCTGGTGGCCCTGCGGCTGCGGTGGAGGCGATACAGAGCTCTGTCCGTATGTATTGGATGCATATGCCGCCGCATGTGCATCTCCCGGCGGGGGACTTGCAGGAGTCGGTTGCTTAGGCGGAGGAGGGTAGCTGAAGTTCTGAGGTGGAAATCCTGGTGACGGCTGGGGAGGTGGTGGAAAAGCTATATAGAACATCAATGAGACTATATTCCCAATGCATGAAACGGTTTGTTATCATACCTCCGGAATTTGGAGGCGCTTAATCACGGAGAGGATTAGCACGTATATTGGTCTGGTTCAGCTATGAAATAGTACTTACGAGGATAGTGGCCCTCTTGGGACGGAGGAGGTGGGTATGAACTCGCCATGGTTTCCGTTGATTTCCTCTCTTTCAGTAGTTGTTTGACGGATGCAGTCGAGTCAACAGAGGGAATGAGACGAATTTAAAAGGGAACGTAAGCACAACCAAAGTGGGATATCCTCGTATTCGTCAGTCGTTTCCAAACTCAATCTGACACTGTTTAGCTTGAGTGAGGGACTTCTTCAAGGACCGCGCAACCTGGTTGACAGCTATATTTCCATTCAAGAAAACAACTGCGCAGACTGGTGTGATATATGAGCACGCAGCTGTAGCATCGGTAGCCGCTGAGCATCTGTCATCTTGCCATCTCCTTGCTCTGGTTGGATTGAAAGCTGTCGGCGCTTAGAGGAATTAGGTGGGGAGAGTT